TGAACACAACCTTGAAGTTTACAAATTTACCAGCACGCGTCATCTGTCAGATTGACGAGGTTCTTTACCAAGGAGGCTGCCCAAACATTGTTGATCTAAGTGGCAATAATAGGCTGCAAAATTTTATTGATGCAGCAAAAATATTATGCGAAGAACGACACACAGAAATATTACTTTTAACAAATAATTTCTTAATAAAATCTAAATCATACTACGATGACGACACACAAATTTGACTTATCTCAAGGCAGTTCTTTCGAAGGTGACAAGCTTTTATTATTCGTATCAGTAATCAGGGTTATGCGAATTTTATTTTGAACATTGCACATTATTTTAAATTATTTGATCACGTTTTTTTGAAACACTGGCATATGGGACACTTCAAAGTTTCGATTTTTGTTGATTTTCTTACTTACAGACTTTTCTGATTCTTTTAAATTTTTTGTAAAGTAAGAACTCTGTGCGTCCATAGGATAGAAGATATTTTATGCAGTGTGAGTCACTAATCGCATTATAAAAGACTTACAGTTACAGTGTGGTTCTTAAAGTAGTATACACTAAAATTATTTTCAACTATACAGAGTATTCTGTTTTTGCAACGTAACATATAATAACCTTATCTATGTTAAGTAATCCGATTGGTCTGTTTTTATGTTTTATAACTATAGTTCTTAACATAAAGAGTATGTATAAAAAAATCTAAAATGACAGAATTTTTACGTATCAATATTTGATTTTTCTCAAATAGAACACCCTGTATTTTTTATTGGATTTTAATCCGGCTACCTTCATGTTTTCCCGAAGTATCATGACCACTGGACTACGGAAAAAAGGTATCTTAATTCGTCTGTCTGTCTGCCTGTCTGTCTGTGTATTTGTCTAAATATAACATAATCCAACACATGTAGTTTATGAATCCGTATTTAGTTTTCACCCAACACGTCCAGATTTTTGAAAAAAAATCAATATTGTTTGTATGACTACTTTTTGGAATTTACTTTGAAACTGCAAAACGGAATGCTTTGGAATCTTGCAAACATTTTAAGGTTATCGTAAACATGATATTTATTAGTCTAATGAAAATTTATTCGTTTACCGCCTCCCAAAAAAATTATAAGGTCATCTTAAAATTTTGCCGAATAAATCCTATGACTCGCATTCTGAATGTTCTTTTTTAATAAATTTTCGATAAATTTAGTGTCATAATAGTATAATATGATACGAGTTTTATAAGAAACATTTTGTCGCACGCACGGTTTTAGAGAGCAGCGAGGAATGCTATAAAGGAATAAGTGCGACAAAATGTCTTATAAACCAGTATCATACAGTATTTTTTCAACTTTGTCCCTTTTTCATAAAAACACAGCAAATTCAAAATCTGGTTATTTTCACGACAGTTGGCAGAACATACCTTTTATTTTATTAAACATTGAGGGTAAGTTAAAAGATGATAGACAGTATAACAGCTAGCAGCTAGCTCATCCGTAATGACAACAGTAAAAAAATAAATTTCACTACGTTTAGTGAAATTATTATAGCACCTAGTGTATTTATTACGACACGCGATTGCGTATCGTAATAGTCTTATTAAGAACGCAAAGTAGAAAAAAACATTTACGAATGAACGGTCAGCAAGGCTACTTAGGTAAGTTACACTGCAAAAAATCAACCTCTAAAATGCGAGCGTAGCGAGCATGTTCAAGATGTTTCAGTCCCATAGACATTAGTGAACACAAACTCTAAACACATTTTTAAATCGGAACAAAATTGTTCTTAATAATTTAGCTTCAGGAACACCAATAAATATTTTTTTAAATTACACCTCAACATGCTCGCTGCGCTCGGATTTTATGCTTCTTTTTTTCAGCTTGATTCTTACAAAAGTGTGCAGGAAAGGGTGTCAACGAAGTTATTTGAATTCTAATGTAAGAATAAATAAATTTCTAGACTTGAAAAAACACCCTCAGTATCAGATAATCAGAAACATTTTTGGGACTCACCTTTTTTTAGACAAAAAATTTCTTATTAATAATTTAGCTTCTCAAGAACACTGAGTCATTTTATTGAGTTGTTTAAAAAAAATTATGAATCAGTCAATTTTATTAATTTTTGATAAAAATTCTCATCAAAGAAATCTGAGTGTGAAAAAGTATATAAATTCTTTAAGCCGATTTTTATCTTCTTTCTTCGGATATGCTAGTCCCTCTTGCAGAAGTGAAAAATTTAAAAAAACTACCAACTTTGGAAACAGAAAATATTAATAAGAAAGAAAGAGAATAAAAAACTGAGTACGATGTAGTAATAAAATACAGAAACTTCTCTTTAAAATATCGACATTTATAAACTATAATATTTTAGACTTTTTTTATAAACACTCTATATTATAAGTAGTATATTATAGCAACAATATATGCATCACTTCTCGAAAAACAACTTTTTTATAAATACATTTTATTATACATGTTCTGATGTATTAATTTCTTTAAAAACAAGCAAAGAAAAAACTTCCATATTTACTGCAGCAATTTGTTACTAGAACTTTTTTGGAACGTAATAAATTTAATTTTAGAAATAAATCAGGAACAATTCAATTTAAAACTAGTTGTATCATCCTTGATAAATTCCGAAGCATGTATTTAATTATCCCTTAAGGCGAATTTAGAGTGCTTGTTAATTTATAACTCTACAGTCTATGTTTCCTCTAAAACAATTTAAAATCTATAGCAACGGTAACTTTGAAAATGCATTCATAGAGTTGATGATAATATTGATAATGTTTATTAACAACTAGATCCTAAATGCATACGTTGTATCATGATATACGCGTACGTATGTGTTAATTAATTACCAATGTTAACCACACTAATTAATTAAACATGATTTTTCCCGATGATATATTTTATCACCAGTACTGATTGTGTTGACATAGATACATTATTAACAAATTATTAAGTGTTCAAAGTGCAAAATAGACGTCATTAATTCAAAATTTGATAATAATTTGATAGGCACAAGTGTTCTGATATGGTGCATTAGGAACTAAGCACAAATTAACATTTACCGTATGTGAAACCACACACCGTGGAATTCCGAGTTTAGGTTATATTTTTGTATGCGAAATATGCATTGACCTCAGCTTCAATACAATAATATTAGATGATGCAAAACTTATGTTTTTTAATGTATAAATAATACTTACCTAGTTATTAGCAAACTTTCCTTGAAATTTTGATATTCATCTATTCTAAGAAATTATTTTTAAAATAAAAAAAATTCTGATTATTTTTTTTTTATATTGATTATTAATTTTAACAAGAGATCACTGCTATCATGATATTACTTCTTGAAAATAATTATGATTGTTAATAAAATCGGATTTTATATGGAAAACTTGACATGTGTATAAAAATTCGTAAACTTATTAGGAGAGAACTTCCTTTAATTGTAAAGTACGACAAACACCACTATTCATTCAATACATTTTTAGAATGATCCCATCTAAGACATTAATTTTATTATCACCACGTAACAATCAAAGTAGATTCGGTGTTAGATAAATCGGTTCGTCCATTCATTCTTTCGAAAACATCCTGCATAAACGATTCTTAAACATAACGCATATTTCTGAGTCACAAAATGGTGCAAACATAGTAAAAAATATTTAATAATTTGTGAAATGACGTCATCAATTTTCTGGTGGGGACACAATCTTCATTTGTGTTATTAAAAACAATTTTTAAGACAATCCGTACGAAAAATAAAAAAAATTGTTGAAGCTATTAAATTCCACGTATGTACAAGGGCAATGAACCTGCATATTTAAGTGATATTTAGATAAAAGTATGTTGAGATGATTTCATAAATTTGTGTATCTTCAAATAATATGAAAACACACCTGAAAGTAAGATTTCTAATTCAAAAAGTCCCAACACACAGAAACAGATTTTTTTCTGCTAAAAATTAATTTAATTTTTGTGTCAAGAAGGCTGTGTTGAATTTATTAACACAATTATTGGCTATACAAATCTAGTTACTTCATGCCAAAATTTATGTTGGCAAGTTTGACAATTTTTGTTAATCTCTGTAATTACAAATTTTACAATTACTTAAATTTGAAAATTAAATTTTTTCTAAACGAAAATAACAATTCATCAAATCAGACAAAAATCTTAACAAGAAAGTAAAAAATAAGGCGGCCATTTTGAACTGCAATATACTTTTTTAATAATCTACATTAAACAAAAAAAAAATGTGGCTAATTTTAATATTAATATTAATAATAATGATAATAATATGGTATAGTAAATCGTCCAACTGGAAACATAATGCAGCACCGGTAGATTTTTGTGAATTCAGTAGCATGTTCCATGCATGTAAAATACGCCAGAGAACGAAAAAAAAATGTAAGCGATTCTTTGGAATATTAAAAAAGAAACAAAAATCAGGCGGCTGTCTCCGAAGAGAGAATATTTATGTACGTGTGTTCTTACTGCCGTTGCAAAGAATCATCAATCTACCAAAAAAATGTCGAGGCGATCCTTGGCGATCTCTTTTGCCTTTGAAATGCGAACCTTTGTGTAGCGACCGCAACATTGGCAATAAACGCCAACTGAAGCGCTAAAAAACCTGCGAAGGACAAGTACATCCCTGCGTGGCCGTCGTAATTATCCCGAAAGAAATTATTATTCGCATCGGGTACTCCATGTCTGCGCTAAGAATTATTCATAATAGCCACCGGTCTTAATAGACATCTATTAATCGAATTCTGGCCGTCTGAATTTCTCCCGAATTGTTGCCATCCTCGATCAGCACAAATAGTAATTAAATCTGCATGAAGGTGTGTTTAGTGCCTAACAGTAAATTTCCAGTCCTTCGCAACAAAACACCAACCATGATTCGTACAAATGCGAACCGAATCGTGACTTAGGATATGATAGAAACGAAGATGCACCTCACCCGTTGGTGAGGGGGGATGACAACCTATATAACTGTCCACCACCAGCAGCTTAGCAAACTCTTGTCGAGAGTGACCAGTGTTGTGTTTAACTTCCTAAAGCCCGGCGCGCACTTCAACTACTTTGTTCGAACCGATCGAAGAAGACACCGCAAGGTAGGTCTCTGATTTTCTTAGTTGTTTGAAAAATTCGAAGACTTCAACGGTCGATTAAGACGGAAACCCCGCGACATTTCGTCTTTGCATGTCTTAGATCTGATGCAACATCTCGCTGCGCACTTATTTCAATACGTTTATTAAGGTCGTTTGCATTGAAATTCACGGTTGGTCGGATTGCGTAAGAAGTCATCATGACGAGCTTAACAGTACCGGTAGTATGGGATTTTTAACGATATTATGATAACCGGAAAAAACTATCCGCGGATTTTCGCGCATCCTCGTGGGTAATGAACTTTGAACAATCGGTTAGTCATTGCATTCGAAAGTCGGCTCTACTCTCTTCGACGGAAAAGCCTTGAAAATGCAACGACAACAAAGAAATAATTGAAAATTGCCAACAATTGAACGTTGCCGAAGGCTACACGTTGATGGTAATAAGCATAGTACAAGACGCAATCGCTCCTTCCTGCGATTATCTAATTGCTTTATTGAATGGACCCTTTGTGAGCTAATTTGATTTTAGTTTATTGACCTTTTAAAAAAAGAATTCATGAGTAATCGGAGAACAAAACAAAAATTGGTTGCCATCAAACAATCTGACAGCTAAAAATAAATCCGTTCGAAGTTTTTTGTCAACTGAAAATTTTTCAACTTGAGGCAACGTAATGCAAATCGCTTGATTAACCCACACTTTACTACTCCCATCTTCTCCGCAGGATGAAAATCATCGTGAGCCTGTTTCTGGTAGCCACCGCCTTGGCGCTTCCACTCCCCGAAAGCGAAGAAAACAAATCAGGTGTACCTCTAGTCATCGCCGATTACTCTTCAGTCGCCAAGTCGGAGGAAAGCCACGCCGCCCACCACCACGACTCCTCCGAATCTTCCGAAGAATCCTCCGAGAAACCCAGCGACGAAGTTAAACCCGCACCCACGACCGAAGCCGCCGCCAAGGGCGAAGAAAAACCCGACACGAGCAGCGAGGAAAAAAGCAGCGAAGAAAGCAACGAGAGCAAGCCCCTTCAGGACGAAAACCCCGCTCCTTTGGAACCCTTGGCCACAACCGCCGCCCCCAAAGCCGAAGAACCCGCCAAACTAGAAGAGAAGCGCGAAGAACCCGCCGAAGATGAGAAGAAAGACGAAAAGAAGGAACTCCCGCAGGAAGAGCTGATCGTCGAGCCCAAACCCATCGAGCCCGAAACGAAGAAAATCGACATCCCGGAACCCGCTCCGGTGGAGGAGAAGAAAGACGACGTGCCCGCGGTGAAACTCATCATGGAGGGTAACTCTGACGTGGTGGACGTGGCTAAGAACACCGCCGCCGTGGCCGAAGAGCCCGCCCCCGTGCCCAAATCGGAAGTGCCATCGCCACCCCTCGAGGTCACCACCGAGAAGATCGAGAAACCCTTGGCCCTGCCCACGGTGACCGCCGACGAGAAGCCCCAGGCCGCCGAGATCAAGGAAGACGTCGCCTTGCCCAGCGAGCAGAAAGTGGAAGCCGCCCAGATCGCCGAAGAGAAATTGATCGAGGTGAAGGAAGAGAAGGCGCCTGAAGACGAAAAGTTGGAGAAGCCCGTCGAGGAGAAGAAGTTGGACGAGGAGAAAGTCGACGAGAAGAAGGAAATAATCGAGGAGAAGAAGGCCAAGGCTGAGACTGACGCGACGGAAGCACCATCGACGGCAAAGCCGGAAGACGCTCCTAAAAAGGACGAAACGGTTCCAGAGGCGTTACCGGAAAAGCTACCGGAGCCTGCTAGTGCAAGTTCTTGAATATATAAATTTTTTGACAAATTGTATGAATGACTGACGAGATCCGCTTGCCCCTTTATTCTGATGTCACTTAAAAAATTTTAGAATAATTGGGCCAACCGGAACTCGATTAATATTATTAATAAATTTTTTTATTTATGTCTGCTCAATTTTTAAGAACCGTATTATTATGAAACACCGTATTCACTCGTGTTTTGTTGTAAAAACCGTGTTGTTTTATTATTTTTGTAATAGCTCAGCCCCTCTATCAGGTGAATCGCCCTGAAACATTCCCGTATTTTTAAGTATTTTATTCTAATGATAAAGCTTTCAATAAAGTTTTATAAATAATCCGTTGGCTTTTTTCTATTCGTTCCCTATTTGGTCAGGCTGTGGCTGCAGCCAAGTCTTTGACCGTGATCGGAATGTTGCATGGTAAGTGCAAAAAAGAATCATTCCCGGTCTATTTCAGACGCATCTTACCTTGCCGGTTAGCATCAGACAAGCTATGACTCCCAGACTCCACCAATCTACGGAGTGCCCGTACTCTAGATGCGCCAAGATTTCAGGAGCTGGAACAATAGAGAACGCTCACAGGACGAGGACCAATGACAGGAATAAAAGTACATCTTAAAATAAATAAAGTCTTTATTAACGGTCGACTCAAAATCACAACATTCATTGTTTTTCTAAAACTAAAAACTATTATTCACAATTATTTACATGAACTGCAACTTGAATCAATTAGGAATATACATCGAAGACGTGCCGTAAATTCAGGTTACTGGCCCCAATCAAATAATACAAGAGCGGGCCTGGATACTTGAACTCTTATAACAGTGCCTCTATGCAAATTCTATCATCATGCATTAGCAGTTGCACTTTTTCTTAACGAATTAGTTTAAGTAATTTCTGACGATACGAAAACTCCCGCTTTGGTTCACCGAAGTCGTTATCTTTCCTCCAATCCCAGCAGCCTCTCTTCACCGAAACAAGTACTCTAATTCCAACTTTAAGAGAGATGTTGTGTAATTATCTTTCACTAGCCTTTCGGAATTGATACTACTTCACAGATGCAGCGCCTCCTCTCCCACACCGAAGGAACAAACATGCAACATTCAGTCCGTCAAAAGAGGGCGCTTTCGCAGAAAAAAGATAACGACCACGCTCAAATTCAGATCACACAGAGATTTTGCGATTAAAAACGAATTCGTTGCACTGCAACTCGATAAAAAAGCTTATAGTAGGAATTGTTAGTAACTTAGATTTAAATAAAGACAACTAAACTAAGATCACGTCAAACTATAGTAAACATAACCTAAATAGACATTAAGAAAAGGAAAATTCACAGACTGGTCGCTTTGAAAATAACTGCACCTCAGCGAAACGTTTATACTAATAAAAATAAATAATTTCTAGTTAAAAAACGACTATGCTAATAGTTGATTTAAAGAAGCGACTCGCTCAAAAATAGAACTTACGACAATTACCGAAATCGGTGGAAATCACTTTCCGACGAAAACCGTTACACCCTTCTGAATAAACAGCGTTTTTGAAACGGTTATGTCGTAAGAGTTTGGCGTAAAGTTAGTAACATATGGGTCACACCCATGACGGCAGGTCATGCTGGTGGTGGGCACAGAACAAACGCAGAAAGGTCGGGGCCAGAGAAATCGTGACAGGAAAGAACTGGTCAAAGCCACAACTCAAAAAAAAAAACATTTGTGTTAATAAAATAATGTACGTAAAAAAAAAACTAATTTCGTATGAACGTTGGTTTCGATAAGTGAACTACGTTAATAAAAAAATACGACTTCAAAAATTCTTTCCAGCAACGCTCTATCATTTCTACGTTCACGTTGTTCTGTGCGTCACACCAAATATGGTGTGGTCGATATGTTGCCAACTTGTCACAAAACTCCACCACGTCACCACCTTTGTCAACCACCCATAAGTGCTTCACGTAACACTAAATTCCACCAATATCACTAACCATCAAAAAGTGATTTTTTGGGCGACCCGTCCGATAGGAATCTCAAATTGCGTCATGTTTAAAAGGCGTTAGCACTGAAACAAAACGTCGAAAAATTTCACCAAGCGCGCAAAATCTAATTGACAATTAAACTAACGAAAGTTAGAGCGACAGGGTCTCTTTGATAAGCTTTTTCATCGTGGAGCCGACCGACGATCCAGAGGACGGTCCCGAAATCGAATAATTCACCTTAAACAAGTAAGGTTGAACGTCTGGGTAGGACGTATCGAAAATCAAATCCAGCTCCGACTGACTGGGCATTTTGGGCAGATAATCGTGTCTGTTCATGATCTCCGCTATCGAGAAGATCTTATCCGCCAAGAGCTCTCCCACCTTTTCCCGGTACGCTTGTCGCTCCCCTTCGTTGGCGAAGGTCAGCAGGTCGACGCGCACGGTCCACACCTCCCACGGGATGCACTCGGACTGGAACAGCCATCTGGTCCGAGGTTTCCTCTGGAAAAATTCCAGAGTGATCTGGCCCATGCCGCTGCTGTCGTTGCCTCTCAGCTGCTCGCTGAAGCTGCTGATCTCGCGCTTGAGCACTTGGTCTAAGTGCGGCGACGAGCAGCACACGTACGTCAGGTCGATAAAGTCGCAATCTACGTCCGTGTATCCGACCGTGCCGATCGAGTAACTGCCCTCGGTGCTGTACAAGAACTTGCCGTGCGTTCGGTGAAACAGCACCGTGTGGAATATACTGGCCACTGCTTCGTCGGCCTGCCTGCCCTCCACCGTCAAGTCGAACATCTGAGATCTGGCGTTCATCTTCGCGTCGCTCAATTAAACATAATATACTAGAGGAAAAGCCGCCTTTACAGTCACTTAATTTAAGGTGATTTCAACGAAAACACTAAATCACAGCTCGATAAACCTGAGTGAATAATTATGGTTTTACACAACTAATATTTGGTGTTTTTTGCACTATTATTACTTCGAAATTTATTGGTTTATTAATAGGTTTTATTGTTTTAATAGTCCACCACTCGTCAACTAGTAGAACATGTGCATACCCATGTATAAAAGGGTTCCGCAAATCGTACGGGTTGTTTTTCCGTATGATAGCCACTTAGAGAGGCCGAAGTCGATCAGTTGGACGTTGCCGTTGGCATCTAAGAGGATGTTTTCCGGTTTCAGGTCACGGTAAATGATACCAGCGTTGTGCAGAAAATCTAGAACAAAAACGAATAATCAAGGTATGCGTTAAAAAAATGAATTTCTGAAGTTATCTCATCCATATTTTGATGTAAGTAAATATTTTAGTTCAGAGGTGTACAATGTGACACTTGGCTTCTCAATATTTCAGACAAATTAATATGAAAGTTTTATATACTGGAAATGGAAAATGCTGAGAATGAAGTTCAAAGATCATACATCATGTAGGTTTTGAGAAATTTGTGGCTGCATTCTTAACAAGAACAAACCGCTTCCTTATTTCACCAAACAATTAATTACTTATTTTGCAATCCCTCATTTTCTGCACTTGAGAAAGTTAGGTTATGGGTCAACAATCATCACAACAAGGCGACAAAATTCACGAAATTTCAAAGCCAACTTGATATACGATATTTTTAATCACCTTGTACATAAATGTTGTAACGGGTGATCAATGAGTTTTCAGTGTACAGTAGACCACGGAAATATTTTTCATCTTTCATTAAACGGGTAAACGGTACAAATGTCAATGTCAACAAATGGAAGATATTAAAATCAAAATGGAACGCCACGATTGAAATGGTTTAATGTTGCAATAGGAGAATTTAAAATCAATTTTATGCCGCTACGGAACCGTTTTTGGTAATTTTTTACTCTAGGCAACCCATCATTCGTAAATCGGACCAGAAACATAACCTTACAAGTTTGAATTTTGAGGTTTAATTAATCAAAGAAATAAAAATACCTTCATAGCCTACCCTGATCGGAAAGCTTATTTTAGAGAATTAATCAAAATTCTTACAAATGAAATGTTTCTTGATATTTTGACCAGTGATGTTTGTAATAGACACAACACAAGTTTTATAACTGGTTTCGCATATAATTATTTACAAGGTTTTGAAACAATTTTTTGTATACTGTATAGAAGATTGTAAAAAATAAAAGAATATTAACTAAAAGGAAGATAATCTAGAGGTAATCAAAAACCGCGACATAAAACATGACAAAAAATTGCAACTACAAAAAAAAGGTTAGAAATAAACCCGACAAAAAAAACAGGCAAAAAAGTACAACAAACAAATCTTAGAAAAGGGAAAAAAAATTGAACACACTGATGAACGTGTAAAAAATTCTTGATATTTTGACCAGTGATGTTTGTAATAGACACAACACAAGGTTTATGACTGGTTTAGCATATAATTATTGACAAGGTTTTAAAACAATTTTTTGTATAATGTATAGACGACTGTAAAAAATAAACGAATATTAGCCAACAGCACACGTAAAACCAACTTCACGACAGTTTTAGATAAGCACTTAGAAAGTCGGTGGACGCCATTGTTTTTAGCTTGAAAGGGAAATTTTAATTTAGTACATTGCAAATACAAAATAATGCAACAACAAAGGAAGTTAAAAGGAAAAGAACCAAAAACGCGACAGAAAAGACAACACAAAATTGCAACTACAAAAAAAAAGAAGTCAAAAAAGGTTACAAATAAACCCGACAAAATACAACAAAAAAATGTTAGAATAGAGATGGCGACATCAAGCTTTTGGAGGGGATAAATAAACAAACTTAATTTTGAATGGCTACAAAAAACATCGTGCAAACTAATAAAAAAACCAAAATAATAATAAAAAACAAAATATTATTCAAAGTGGTGTTTTTGTTTTTTTTTTCCTGCATTTAATGTGACCCTTGATAAAAAAATCTAGGTTCAATGATATCTTTATCAATCTCCAAAACTCCTGGAGTGAAAAATAAAGAAAACTCTCACAGAATGACAAAATTTCTTATGAGTATATACGTTTGCTGCAAGAGCCGAAAGCGAGTGTTGCAATTTATTGAGTGAGAAATCTGTACTCAGCAACACATGGTACGCAGGGACCACGACTTTGTTTTTAGTAGATTTCCAAGTAAATGATATCCTGAATACGCTACTTAATGATTATTTTAGTAAGCAGGGCTGTCAAAATTTCGTATTTTTTTTTTATTAAATTTTCTAGGTCTGCAATTATTTGAAATTGAAACTCAAAAAGTAACATAAAAAATCAAAAGTAACAAGTTTTAATTACGTTTATTCAGTTTTTGGTAACGATTTATATTTTATTCAGTTATTTTAATTTCCATTGTCTATATTGTAACACATTCACAAACATGCAACTCTGTGTCATGTTTGAAACGTGTTTCTGCGAATTTTGAGCAGTAATAAGAATTATAAGTATAGTTTTGGAAATTTCATTCTACCCTATAAAATTTTATTGGCAATAACGAGACGGACAGTAGTACAATAGCAAGAGATATTTACAATTTAAAGTTGTCGCATGCCGGTAATCCCCAGATGTTAGAAAGCAGAATAATCCAGGTCCGGACAGGGCCCATCGTTACTCACGAATGAAAATGAGCATTATTTTATGAGTACAACTATTTGGTAAGTGTTTTCCGACAAATTCGGGTGAACTGGTGTGAGCCATAAATATTTCTTACCATTGCACTATTGTCCGTCTCGTTATTGTCAATAAAATTTTATAGGATAGAATAAAATTTCCAAAACTATACCTGCTTTTAAAATAAAATATTGGTTTAGGGTAAAAGACAGAATTTTCCTCACCTCTGAAGTACAGTCCAACAAATACAGCTTCGAAAAATGATCAAATTTGATTGATTTTGTGAATTTTATTTTTTATATACCTAAGTTATATAAATCGAGGCTGATTCATAAACCATAAGTACAGTATGTTATTTTACAAAATTTAAATAGCATTTCCTCTACAAAATTTTGTTGCTACCGATAATAATAAGATAAATTTTGGTTATCGTTTTAGCATCTACACGACCTTCATTAAACACAAATAAAACTTGGTAGTAATCAGTCCTATAATAATTTCTTAATAATAATAATATTTTATTGCAATAAAAATAAAATACAGTATTTCAGAGATTATCTCTGTATAGTTTTGGAAATTTCATTTTACCCTATAAAATTTTATTGGCAATAACGAGACGGACAGTAGTACAATAGCAGGAGATATTTACAACTTAAGTTGTCTCGTGCCGGTAATTCCCAGGTGTTAGAAAGTAGAATAATCCAGGTCCGGAACACAGTATAGATATCAATCAGTAGAGACAGCTCGCCGTCTTTCGTGACCCGTTTTCGTGGGTGGTCGTTCCCATTATGACCGAATGAGGGCGCCCAACTGACATCTAAAATATTTGAAATTTGGCAGTTTTGTTACAATATTTTTGCCGGTTTTGCTTGTTTAAGACTGCTTTTCCGATAGAATTGTACAAATAGTATAAAAATGTAATTTTTACAATAAAAGGTAAAATCTTTGTCCGATGAATTTTCATAGAGGATCCCTGTTGTGCGCCTTATTCTGTCCATCGTGTTTGGAATTCTTGGAAAAGATAGTAAACATAACACACTTTTTGTTTAAAAAGTCGTCGCAAACGGACAACAACGGTGGTTATGAAATAAATAATAAAAATTTATTATATATGATTCCGCTATTGTGGTAAAATTAAATATAAAAATAATAAGAAACAAACTACACGTAACAGAAAATTATATAAGCAGACCTTCTCTCAATAAACAATTTTTTTATTCATCATGTATGTATATATTTTTTTTGACCTACACAATCTTGAGTTTTATTTTGAGACGTTGCTTAACCCATAAGCAGTCGCGCGTGGGTAAAAATGACCCAAGCCGTACATTTTGTCAAATATCCTTTTTCGCTTAATCCCTATGGACTTCCGGTTTCATGAATTCCTTAATTATTCTTACCTGCGTCGACCCATACCAATTACCTGCACTTTATGTGAGCCGACAAATATGCATTTTTTTGTAATAATTTTTTTTTAATAAAAATTTTAGTTTATATGATATTACGCTTACGGGTTAAGTTGTTAGGTAAAATGGGTTTGACTATATATTAACAAGACGCCTTTGCCAAGACGCACTAGAAAACTGTTTTGGATGGATTAGGAAACAAAATGGAAATTCTATTAACCCCATATCTAATCAATTTCAAATGGCTTTTAGAAAATTAATCATACAAGATTATTTTGATGAAACGAACACAGGTAATCAAAACTGCGAGTCTGATATGGAAGAAATTTTAAAGTTAAATGTAGGTCGTCGTTTTGATGAAGAAGAATCAGTTACACACACGATGCAGAAGACCACCTTAAAAGATTGTGATTATCACTTTCACACAGCTGAACAAAACGCAATTAGATATATCTGTGGCTACCTAATTCGGAAATGTTTATTAGTACATAGTTGTAGTGAATGTGAAAAATATGCAAATGAACATAAAAGTTTAGACAACACAAGCATATATTCACATTTCAGAGCCTACCAAACGAAAAATTGCGAGTGATTTGGTAAATTATATATGCCAAACGATAATTTCTTTTTTTACATTTGTGAATTAGAGCAAATTTTTAGTGAAAATTTTGAAAATATAATTTTACAAACAACTACTTTGTTGAAATTTTTAAATTTATATAAGCAAGCTACATTTGTTCATCCATGCCAAAACTTTCCATACGATTATTTGCTTGCTTTGTATGCTAGGATGAGATTATTTTATGCACTAAAATTTGTAAGTGCTAGCTTTAAATTTACAAATGCCAAAGGTGAAAAAATTAATAGAAAGAAAATAATTTGGCAGCATTAACTTTTTTCCTTTTTGTAATTTAATTTTTATTTTATTTATTTTTTCTTAAATAAACCTCTTTCTTTTTAGATGTATTTATTACATTATTTTTACAATGATAATTAAACCTCAAGTATTCGGGGAAAGAATGTGCGAATTGTCAAATTGTATAAGTAATAAAATAAAAATTGTAACAAATCATCGTGTTTATAAATTAAATATCGACTTTTCTTTTTTCTTATTGCGATTCACGATTATACGATTTCAGCAAACTACACCGTTTGCAATAAATTGCGTACACGTATCAATTTTTGAAATTGTAATTGAAGTGATACTTTTTAAATTGGGTGGCGACATCTAGGAATAGTTTAGGCAACGACCACCCATTACGGCTTAAAATTCGAGTCAGAAAGAACAAAGGCGCCGACACGAGCTGTCTCTACTGATTGATATCTATACTGTGTCCGGACAGGGACCATCGTTACTCTCGTTATCGTCAATAAAATTTTATAGGGTAGAATAAAATTTCCAAAACCATAATAAAATTGAGACAGACGAGAGACGAAACGATTTTTTTTTGTAATTTGAAAAAAGAAAGAACACGAATGATTTAAATTGGGCCAACCTTGTTATTACATCACTCAAAAATTTTTACTTTTAATCCTAAAAAACCAAACATAATAGAGAGGTCATTAAAAGTGTGTCCACATTTTTTTAATTCTACACTTTTTCGATATTTTGTTGAAATATTTTTTGTCCAACTTACAAATTAAACTTAAACATATTTTTTATATTTTTCTGCTAATTAAAACACTTAAATATTATAACATCGAGCAGGGTTTTGATATTCCGAGTAATCAACTCAAAAAAAAAAAAAATACACTGAAGACGAGTTGTAGATGAAACAGTGCATTTTTACAAATCTATTCAACATATTTTTCAACGCGACGTCATCAAACATTACGCAGGAGATATAAAAATGTTAATGAATATTGTGAAATTCTTAAATCAACTGAACATTTCTAAGTACTCCAAAACAATTATCAACAGACGTAAATCTATTCATTAACACTTTACAAGTTGAATTTTAACGCAGAAACCACGCATACCTGCAGTAAATTATCTAAAATCAAATAATAGTCCAAATTACCCATTGTAGACATCCGAAAAAATATTATACTAGTCTAGCATATTCAAAATGAACTTTGAACCTACTAAGGTTTTTTTTTTAATTTGTGCGACAAACAGAAAATTTGCATTTTCGTATTCTATTAACCTTGAGACGCCAGCAAAACATGAATTCGCCAATCGCTACCATAGTTCCAGTGGAATTAAAGATCATTATAGTTGAAATTCTTCAAAAGACTAAAAAAAGGGTTAACCTATTTTGCTCCATCTGTCGCCAGACAAAAAAAATCAAGTTTCAACTTAAAATATTAACCGGTATATATCCAAACAAATAACAAAATCATATGTAACCCAAACAAAATACATTAAATTTTAATTATACCAGTCTGATTTTTTGTCTGAATTGCTTTAAATTTTTAATCAAGAATTTAGAACGGTAAGCCAAAAACTGTGACGTCAAAACTGCCTAGGACAAGAGAGTCTATAATTTTGTTTTTTAAAAGGGACTAATATTTTGAGGTTAAGATTTCAAATGCTTTAAGATAAAACAAAATAAACAGCAAACAGGGTCTAAATTCCTTGCTAACAATGCTTGAATGCCATATAAATTGGCTATTATTGGACGAAAAACATCATAATCTTTTGACATTTCGGGAAAAATTAACTTAGACACTGCGTCTATAAATAAAAATGAATGCATTCCAAAGATATTTTATCTTTTATCTTCAAAATACATATTGACAAAATTAGACGTTCTTTTCAAGTTCATTGAGATAAAAAAGAAGACATTTTTAAAGAGATGTCGTAACTTGAACCACCACTTTTTCATGTTTCACATCTTTCATTAAGCAAATTCATTCAAGAACTCACTAAATTGACTTTCAAATTACTACAAATTATTATAATTCAGTTCAACTGTGCATAAATTTCAAATCAAATTAAGTTAAACAATTTTGGACTATTAATGTAATGGTTGCCATTTAATAAATACCACGAGACGCTAAGGCTGAGGAATGAAACATCATAAATCTGGTCGTGAAATCATTGTGAAACTAACCGAGTAACTCTAGAATCAAAACAAAACAAACAAAACAAATTTTAGTAAATGTGGTTCTGAAAGTGATACAAATTAATAATTTAAAGTATAACAAATTCTACTAACCATGAAACGGTACCGTTCGAGCACTAGAAACTAACTGTACTTTTTAAAAACTCTCGTCGTGATGATATAACTTATCAATTAATTTAACATACCAGGAATCGAAATCGTTAAACTTCGAACTTCCTCTACCCATTGTCAAGAGCCAACATTTACTTTCGGCGAACGTGACAATCAAACATCAAATATTTGCACACGATGAGACATCTTCAGGTCAACGTAACGTCGAAATGAGCGCACAAACACTAAACTTACCGAGAGCGAGGGCCAATTGGGCAATATAGATTTTGACTAAAGCCACAGGAAGGACGGCGTATGTCTTCAAAAGATTGTAAAGTTCGCCACCGGCAACGTATTCGCTAACTACAAACAAAACCAATTTAGAAAAACACCTACACTAGTACGGGCAAAAAGAGCAAACCTATGTACAGTCTCTTCTTGCTCTGCCAATGGAAGGGACAGTCGACGATATAAGGATGATGGCCGCACACCCTTTGTATCTGCACTTCGTCTTTCACTTGTCGTACGGCGTTCTCTTTAATTATCTGCAATCAGAAAATGCGTCTCCATATAAAACATCATACTCGTGCGCTAGAAAAGTGATAATGCCAGACGATTCGTAACCAGGTCAAGTTTACTAATAGCTTTGTAAGTCGAGATAATCGAATTCGCAAAAAATATCTACGCATGATTACATCATTTCGGTGCAGCGAGCTAAAATTAGGAAAAGGGAAGGTTTGACCTTTCGTTTTTTCGGTTTTGGATGCGTCGGAAATAGGTGCAATTTAACTACAGGTAAAAAGTTAATCTAAATCGGAGTTTGTTTTGATATTGGGTCGAGAACAAAAAATATCTGCAGAAGTGAAGATGTAGTAATAGTATACAGAACAATCTCAAACACAGGTAAAATGTGACAGATTCAACACACATTTTACTTTTTATTAGTTCGAAGGCTTTTTATAGAAATACTGCATTGAATTACCAACGTACAGAATACTGATGGGATTTTGTTTTTGTAACTAAATCCTGTTAATATTCACAATTAACAGGCTGTTTTTTGGCCAGATCTGGTTAAATGATTTTCTTTCGTGTTTTGATATTCATAATATTAAAATATAGGTTATGGTACACATTTGAACATTTGTTGTCATGCAATGAAAATTTTCGAGCAGTTACTTTTTGGTTTTTTGATATTTCCAACTGCAACTTCATAAACTGATAAATGTTATGCGCAACTACGAAAATCACGGCACTTTATTGAATATTAAAGAAATGTCACCACTTATTTTAACAAATGAAAAAATTGCGTGCGGTTTATGTGATTTCTTATTGATGTGCGTGTAAAATAAAATAACGCGGTCTTCACGCAAATATTTCGACTCAGAAGTCATCAAAAAGCAAGTTAAAGCACTCACATTTATCAAAAAATTGGTTTAAAATTATTTAGGCACAACTTTTCATGTCCCTGAAGCACCATTTTATTTTTTTATGACAACGCCTGTAACTATATTAAAATACAAATTAAGTTAATTGATTCATTTAATTTTTCTAAACTGTGTCCTCAATTCCAAAAAATAAAACATATTGTTAAGGCGATAATAACATTGCATCTGCAACGATCAACTAAAAGGAAAAGTGCTTATTTTCGTTACACTTGTTATGATTTACTTCTAAGAAAGAAACGCATTTATGGCTACGTTTATGTCATATTTTCAAAATTTGGTGGTTAGGGAGATCAAAAAATCATAGATAAACTCGATGGATGAAGATCTCGGAAAAAAAATGGTTAAAAAAAATTCCCGAACCAAACCTTCGAAAATACTAAACTCCAAAGCTAAAGAATTAAATTCATAATTCTGGTCTGTTTTAATGGACTGCATGTCTTAAAATTACACAGTTGAATATTTTGCTATTAATAATTTAATAATAATAATTTGCTTCATTACAGACGAATTCATTTTTTGCCATTGGCAGATGTGATTTTAGAAAATTTTTATGAGAATTTTAGATTTTAAATTAAATTTGCATTAAACCATATCAAAAGTTTAATATTTTCGTTTCTTTTTAGTTTTTTTCGAGTTCTTCATTGGTTTCTCAACGTACCTGTATAATAGTTTAAAATTTTAATATTTTCTACAGTGTAGCATTTTCTGTCATAGAAAAAAGAACTCACTATAGATATTAATCTATACTGAAAAAGAAATATTTTGCATTCTTTCAGAAAGTGAAGCCATCTACTGTATTTCCAATTTTTTAAATTTAAAAGAAAACACATTTATAGCTAAATTTCTGTCTTAAATTTTATATTCAACCGTAACCAAATTTGTTTTGACGACGTTAATCTTTACCGAAAATTCGACGTGTCCTATTCAATGAATAAAATGGATATAATGTTCCCCTAAAAAATTTTTATTTAATTTTTTTGTGCAAGAACTTCTAAAAAATATGAGTAGATTCATAAAACACAAGCAAAGTCGGCCGATTTAACTCACCTGATTTTTCCAAATTAAAAAAAAAACACATTTAAATATTTTTTTTATTTTTCAAACTTAGAAAGTAGAATGCATATTACGGCCTTTTTAAATGCAATTTAAAACAAAATAAAGTGAACACCGACTAGAATAAAATATTTCCAACAAAATAAAGCGATAATTTTTTTTGTTTATTTATTTACCACCTTAAAACGTTTGCAACAATTGCAAAGGAATCAGTGTTGTATTTTCTAAAATAGTCACTTTTTTACAATTTTGGATTTTTTCCCTGTTCATGGTAAAAGATAAAAGTGGATTAATAAACCACAAGTAATTAGCGCATGAATTAAATTATAAAGCTAGGGAAGCGTTAAAAATAGGATCCATCAGGCCAACGGTTACTTTCATGTTTTCTCGACGTTTCATGACTCCTGAAATATAAAAAAATAGATCTCCCGTTTCCGTCTGCGTGTTTGTCTGTCCTCTTTTCTGTGTCGATTTTATTAAACAGATAATCTCCGAAATTATTGGGACTAATTGCTCTCAAGTTTTTTTGTATATTTTACGAATATCGTGTAGATGGTAAAACGTAATTAAATTCGCAAAATCAAATTTTATAATTTTTCAAAGAAGCAGTATTGTATAATATACTGCATGGGTATTAAATAACTAACTATTTAGCTACGTAAATAAAAATAAGTGCCATCAAAAACTGAATAACCATCAGTAAAACTGATAATTTTTGTTATTGCAATTCTAAAAATTTGAAAAAATTAAAAAATTGTGATTTAACAAAAAAATCATTGATTTTTTATTTTTTTTAAACTCGATTTTTTCCAACCCTGGACACAAATGTAGATGCACAAAATTTTGCACACTTTAGATGGGATTTAATTCGCGAAATTTTTAATGATGTGATCTATCTAGTTTTTGAAAGAAATACGCAGATAAATTTTGATACGCGATTCATCACATTTACGATAACCTTAAAACGTTTGCAACAATTCAAAGGAATCAGTGTTGTATTTTCTAAAATAGTCATTTTTTACAATTTTGGATTTTCCCCCGTTCATGGTAAAAGATAAAAGTGGATTAATAAACCACAAGTAATTAGCGCATGAATTAAATTATAAAATCTGAACAGAATTTACCTTGAAAATTGTTGACCGATAGTCTTATTAAAGTACATCCAAAATGCTACCGCAATCGGTCCAGTAGTTTCGAAGAGAGTACGTATCTAAACAAATCGCCAATGGACAGACCGACGAAAATGGAAGACCTACTTTTTCGTATTTTTGGGGTCACAAAACGAAGATATTTTCACACTGCACAAGCTGTAGTATGTGAAAAACCATTAAATATGAGCCTTCGTCAAATCGGTCTTACAATGTTTCCCTATCTTCAAAATGTTAAAAAAACTACGGAACCTTTATAAACCCAAAATTAATAAATATGCTCCATTTAATCGAATGTTGCTTATATTTTGAAAACATAAATAAGAAAAGCGGGCTTTCTGTTAAATTTTCTTAATTATTTTGGAAACCGAAAGATAATTTTGTATTTTAGTATACATAGACGTTCAGCATATGGCCGTAGTTATTAAAAAAAGTTTTTGTTTGCTTTTTTTCAAAATAATGTTGGCACATGGCTTTCAAATTAACCGAAAAAAATCGTCTGGGGAACAAATACAAAATCTACAATTTTTTTATTTCCCGAGCGTAAGCGAATCGAGTCCGTCGGCCGACTCCCTACTTTTAAGTTTTCTCGACCTTTCATGACCCCTAGGGCCGGTTTATAGAAAAGCGAATTAAATATTTAATCCTCAATTAATTTAGAAGAGGATTAAAAAATGTGGAATATGAGCCCGTGATTGGTTAAAACATGCACACTGCCTAGGAACGGACGACAATTAAAAATTAATAGCGAATTAATTTTAACTTCCGATTTTCCGTTTCCGTCCGTCTGTCTGAGAGTACTGGGTCGATTGTTGTCAAATTTTGTATTTAAATATTTATATTAAGAATGTCATGTAGATGGTAAAACACTAATCAAAATTTGTAAAATTGTAAGTAATAAACGCGGACCTGAAACCTTTAGCAAAACGACGACTTTTACAAAAACCACACGTTTTTATTATCAACACTTAAAATTTATGCAGTTATATTATTATTACCAATTTGAAATGAAATTCTGTTCAAAATACTTTTACCGCTAGTTACACAAATGAACTTTGGGATCCAAACGACAATAAAAAAATAAGCGCTTTGTAACACATATACGACAATTTATTGCTCTTTGTAACTCCTACCTGGTAAACTACCTATATTGGGCGCTACGGTCGGAAGTGCGAATTTCTGGTCCCTCTGGATGTGCCAACAACGGAACATAGAAAACTCACTTATCGAAACTAGGAATGCAGTAAGGTACTACTAGGTCTGATAAGAAACAAAACCCGAAATTGAAAACTTGCTTGTGTAGTAAACAAGATTATCGTCCAACTAATTGTTATTTAATTACTTCTATGAAAGCAAACGTCGTTAAGCTTTATCTCGACAGTATTTTGTAAACCCACGCCACCGAAGTTTTCAACTTGATCATAACCATAACGAGCAAATGAGGAACGTGTTCGAAGAAGCAACTGAGTAGCATCTTCATGCACAATTATGTAACAGTACATTAATATTCCTGTCTGCGTAGATAAATAATCGGTTTTCTTTCACTTTTCTCAAGTGAATAAATAACACTCCTATAATTTTTTCCCGTAATTGAAAACTCGAAACACTGTATAGTGTTAGACAACACCAACATAAAAACTAAAATACAACAAATAAAACTCGCAAAACTCACCTTAGATTTGGACAGAACCTTCAGAGCGTAAACGTCTCCCTTTTCGTCCTTGACCTTGTACACCTTGCCGAAAGCTCCCTTGTTGATTTCTCCTAAATTTTCGAATTTGTTTTCTTTGTTGTTGGTCAGCAACGGAAATTCCGGTAAGAAGAACGACTCGGTTTGGGAAACGGGCCAAGCAGTCTTGCTAGATTCGTACGGCAACGTCAGCGTCGATTCCTTCCACCTGTAAAGACCAAGGGATGCACTTGTGTCGAAACGACAACTGGCCTGTTTGTCTCAACAGGACGGTTATAACTAGTAGATGCTGGACCACATGCTGCGTTTGGGGGCGAATTCGAGGAAAGAGGAGGGTGTTTTTGCAGAAACCAGTTTCATTTGGGAACGACCTTGCATCACAAAGAGATGTTGTTGTTGGGGTGGGTTCGGGGTTGTTAGGGGCACATTCTGCGAATGTGATGTTGTCGTTTCGAAACGACCTTGAGGGTATTCCTACCGACCAGCGCATCCGTATAACGTAGTACACTATCTGCTGTTACATCAGCTTTACTCGTATTTATTATTTTGATAATCATATGTTTTGGCGCCGATAAGATATCAGGGGGATCGTTGGCCTATGACCTAAATAAAATTTGTCCATGAAATTGGATTACGATAGCTCGGTGAACACAATAGGTAGTAAATTTTTTAGCGATGTACAATTTCAACATCCGCTTGTTCGTTTGTTGCTATTAAGAACTGGTGCTTTTCGATCAGTTTGGAATACGTTTTCGAAACGACAGTCTCGATTAAATGTTCGAACTATTTTTGAATCTTTGTCTGCCACATTTGCTAAAAATACGAATAAAACATTTCGGCTTCAAAGGACAGAAAACACCTGGGGTTCTACCTCTTTCAACATTCTAAAATAAAGCAGCATTGGTGTGGGGAAAAACTACAGAGAAAGAACAAGTCCATTGCTAGATCTGAATGTTTGAACTAGAAAATCCTAAGAATCAAACAACAATAATTATACTAATTTTAAAAACAATTTGATGTCACATGCTTGTCACACCGAGTCAATAATTTTACAATATAACTTATTGGTGTCAGCACATCAGGATATGCGATTTACAGAAACAACGTATTAAGTAGTATTAAGTAGACGAAGATTTTCTTTTCTTTTATATTTGGCTGTTTGACATAAGTTAGTAGGGCTTACCGTAAATAACAATAATACTCACGCTATACTAGTGTTAAATTCATAAATATTTATGTTTACACACATCGTAAATAAAGCAATATTACGTATATAGTGGGAGATGATCATTAAAAATGCCATAAAATACCATTTTTTTTTCATATTACAGTAGGGGCCTTTAGGAATTTATAGAACTTCGGACAGGAGTAAGCGGTATTAAATTTCTTTCGTTCTAGTCGAAGTAGATCGATATATAAAATAATCATTAAAATAACGTCTGATTTGAATGAGTTAGTCCCCTCCAAATAGATCAAAACTATTAAGTGGTAAGCTACAATCGACAAAATGTTCTGAATATCACTATTATAATTCTTATTAAATAAAGACGTTTGTATTTTCACATTTTCGGGAAAATGGGGTGACTCGTTCTTAATTTGATCAATAAAAAATACAAATGCAATGATCAATCACAAGTAAAAACTCATTATATTTTGTACATTTTGGGTAGAATTTATTCGGTAAAATTTTGAGATGACATAATCAATTTTTTGAAGCTGATAAACAGATACATTTTAATTAAAAAGTTACCATGCTTACGACAACTTTAAAACATCTCCAAGATTTCAAAGCATTCGGTGCTGTAGTTCCTGATTAAAACAATAAAATAAATTCAAGCATTCATTACTTTTTTTTTGAGTCACCCTGTATAAGCAAATCCAATAAATCTGAATGGAATGATAAATCACAAGAACAGACTCATCATATTTTGTACATTTTAGATAGGATTTATTCGGCAAAACTTTGAGCTGACGTCATCAATTTTTTGGAGGCGATAAGTGAATATATTTTGATTAAAAATTTATCATGCTTACTACACCTTTAAAACATCTTTCAAAGCCTTCGGTTTTGCAGAATTTAAACCCCATTCACTATGTACAATTTTGAAGTCACGTCATCGCGTTATTGATGGGGATGTTTAGAAAAATTTTGTTTAGCGTTTATCATCTACATGATATTCCTAATATAAATACAAAATTTGATAATAATCGGCCCAATACTTTCGGAGATTATCCCTCTAATAAAAATCCGGGACGACAGGCAGACAGGCAGACAGGCAGACAGGCAGACAGACAGACAGGCAGACAGGCAGACAGGCAGACAGACAGACAGACAGACAGACAGACATATGGAAACGGGGGACCTATTTCTTCGTACTGTAGGAGTCATGAAAGGTCGAGAAAACGTAAAAGTATAGAGTCGGTTGATGGACTCGATTACAATACTTCCTTTACTTATCCTCAGGAAGTAAAAATCAAAATTTTATAACAATATTTTACAATTTAACTTTGAAATTGCAAAAAACGAACGCTGTGAAATATTGTAACTATTTTGTGACCATTATTGGTAGCATCGTAAATCGTTAAATCAAATTTTTTCGTCATCTTACAGTTTTGCTGACTGCTTTTTAAGTTCATGCGAGTTTTTGGGAAAAAACTGAGTGCGGTTAATTAATTAATGAGTCCTCTCTTCTGCGTTGAAGACACAAAACCAACCAAATTTCATTTTCTTTTAACCGCTGATGCTAATGGCCGAATTCTTTCAAAGTATAAACATAAACAGTCGAAGTTAAGCATGTATCTATTATCTGCTTAAAACACATTTCATATTGTCCATGCTATTAATTACGCGACTGGTTTTTGCGTTATAAAGGTCACAAAATCAAATTTTGACTTCGACTAATTTTTTTGTAACAAGGTAACAAATTTTTAAACATTTTCTCATTTGTATGGTGATTAAAAAACCATCTAAAGTGTGAAACCACGAATGTAACAAATTCGTTAATTGATAAACTAATAATATTAGACTATTAAACAGGCTATTACTGTCCATAATTGCCCCTGTTGACGATAGTCATCTTGCTAACGTCATCAACTTTTTTAAATGTAATGGTATAGTTTTATACGTCGTACCTTTGAACAGCAATTTTCTAGTAAGACTACATTTAATACATAAAAATACGTTTCAAAGTATTGTATTTATTTAATTGTTAACAAAAAATTTGCTTTGATAAAAGAACAATGTATATAAAAGTTTTCGTACACTGACTAAGAAAGTATGCAAACAACATACTCTGTATATTATCAATATTATCATGACCAGAGATTTATTTATTTTTAGCTTATCATCTTCCCGAGGAAGTGACAATATTTAGACTTATTCAACAGTTTTAATTCCTATGAACTTTGTATCAATAACATTAATCTTCCAACAAGCCCAGCGCAACGGATCGAATTATATCGCCCACAATTCAAGTTTGAGACTATAAAATTTATAAGATAAAAATAATTGCAAATAATGTGACCAACTTTTTTTACCTTCGACTGCAACAATTATCATATATAATTTTAGGTAAAATATTTTAATTGTACAAAACAAATGTGACCATGCCATTTTCTTGGTAGTTTTAAACAACGTCAGAACATTACTTTTCTGGGGCGCTTTGGACATTTGCATTAGTCCCCGCTGAGCTCAGATCCATTAGTGGCGGACATTATTTTTGGCCCCAGGTGTACCTTTTACTGCTCTTTTCAATGTATATCACATTTTCGAAATTAATGTCGTCTACCAGTTTGTTAGCATTTATATAAAGAAAACTACTTTACTACCTTTAGTAAAAATAAATTAATAGTAAATACTTCTTTATCAATCCTGCGATATCTTTATAATAATAAAACTGCAGTTTCCATACTGCTTAATTTACGAATCTCTGGCGTAAATATTATCTCATAAATCACCGGAGAGAAACACGGATCTAGCCAAGGCCACAGGACACATGTTTGTAAATAATCTGAGGGACAGTATCCTTGTCAGGGTTTTGGACGGCGACACAATAGTGCCCCATCATAAAAACCGTTTTGCTTTTGCAGGGCTATACAAAAGTGCAGCCGGCTTTTATGGTGCTTTCGGATTTTGGCACCGAAACCCATCTTTCTGAAATCTGACTACCTGAGGTAAATCCTCCCTTTCTCCTATTCGCACAGACATATGTCTGCGTTTCGATATTTTTACGATAATCACATTAAGTTACGGTGGTTTCATGCAAATAAAATAAAATTTATAGCAATAATTTCATAAAATGTGAAGCTATCCATCGTCGTACGTTTGTGGTTTAATTATAAAGAAATGTTAATAGTTTTTAAGAAATGAATTCCATTTCCATGGCTGACTAGACAACTTTTTTTTTTCGATTACATGGTACCGTAAAACTGTGTAACAATAGTCACATAAACTTCTTGCAGGGACCGTTACAATTCTTTTTCTATTACAGCGTCTCCTAGTTTGTCTGCTTTAAATTTTTTTTTAACATATATTCTACTTTATAAACCAAATACCAAAAAGAAGAAAAAATTCAACGAGACAGTAGAAAAAGGGAAATCCCAAAATGTTACGTTCTCTAAATTTTTTCCAAAGAAAACAAACAAAAATTAATAGACGTAATTTACCACGAAAAATAATTTTGCGCGAAAGATGACGGACAGGTGAAAGAAATTTAATTGTAAATACAACCAGGTAACGACACGCCTCTGACCTGCTTCTATAACCATAGCTTACGCTCTGAAAGTAACAATTATCAGTTCAAGCATGTTTTCATCTAGCTGGTTTGTTTTCATAAACCGACGTATAATTAAAGCATGATGATTTTGATGCAACTTTGGTTTACTAAACTACTTAACTTTTTGCTACATTTGTAAAGTGACATAAAAATTTCCAATTTTCGACGTTTCAAAATCAGGCAACGGTATTACAGTCGTTTCAATCATTAAATATTATTAAGAAACAAATTCTGATTTGAATTTACAAAAACATTTTATTGTGTATCCTGTTAAAGATAAAGTCTTTTTTATGTATCATGTAATATTAAACAACACATGAATTGTTTAATTTACTGTCTATTAACGTCATATTCATTTGAAATGCAATTTACTCGATTACATGGTTATATCTACGATAAAATAAACTATTACTGGAAGTTTCTGCATTTTAAT